CCCCCCAATGAACAAATAAAAGCACTACATTACTTCTGAGTAGGGCTTAAGGACATCATATGTAGTCCACTGACATAGCATGCCTTGTGATTCCTGAGAGAGAGATAACAGAGAATAATTCTTACATACTACATTGTCTTGTACAATACACTCTAACCCAAGATTGCAAAGTAGTGCACCTAATCTGTAATTTAATGGGCCTGTACATTCTTATGTTTGAATTGCTACATCTTGGGGGGGGAGGGGGATGATACAGTTTTCGAAACGGATACTTCAAGATGCAGACACAGCAAAATATTTTTCTTAAAGAGGTGCCTGGGCTGCTTATTCTCAGTATTTGTCTACTGTCTTGTTTTGAGGGATCATTGTCAAAGGAAACATGTATAAATACGTGTATATCTAACACCGTAGAAGAACATAGCACTGAACATGTCTTGTTTTGTGATCTTAAATTTCATTATTGTAAATATTCCTTGTAGTCCTGACACTTTGGTTTTTCATTTTTTTTCCTCTGTACTAAAAGTCACTGGCAGAGATCTGCTGTGATTCATGCCACAATCAAGAGCATTCATTGAGCTGCACAGTAAAATGCACTGACGTGTTGAATAATATAACAGAAGCCCAGAAACTTAGTGAACTATTCCATGTCTGTGATACAAGCACAGATGTACAGTGACTTAGAGAAAAGGGGTAATGTGGGGAAAAATAAGTGTTTTTAAATGGTGTGGGATTTGCATGTTGCATGCATAAGTTTTATTTCTGTAATTATTACCTTAGTGGGCAGATCTTTGCTTACTTTTTCATTATTGTTCATTTTTAAGAAAACCTATCTGTAGTTTTTAACACATTAGGCGTGTTTGTTTAAAGAGCAGGCATTCTCTGCCATGGTTTCATAGCCTTGTTTTCAGACTGATGTCTTGTTCCCTCCCTCAAGTACACTAATACTAGGAACAGTCTCTGATGTCAGGCAAGAGAGGTTGAATACTGATTGTGTGCTCCAACTTGAAATGCAGCTTGGTAGACATATTTTACATTTTCTACTGCTGTGAGACAATTTTTTTGCTGGGAATAGCAAATAAAAATTGTATCCAACAGCGTCTGTCTCCTCTTAGTCTCAAAATAAGACTTGTAGTAGTAGAGATTAGAGATTTAGTCATTCAGTACATTTGTAGACTGTATGTACACTAAGTATAACAATACTGTTGCCCTATCGTTCTATTCAGTTTACTACCTCTGTCCAATCTATTGTGTATTTATCCTTCTAATAAATTAATTGATTTCAGAAGGGTGAGTCTGCCAGTGTTAAATTCACAAGTTTACGTAATGAAGAAGAATATTAGTTCTCTTAGGGAAAAATTACATAGTTCAGAGGACCAAATTCATCCATGCAGGACAAAAATAAGAGTAATATGTGGGAGATTCAAAAAAGGAAACAGATTCTGAATACACCCCTCCCCAAGTATAACAATGCAAGAATGTTCTATAGTAAAATGATGTGTGAATTGCAAAGCTGTGCTATGGTTTTTGTTGTTGTACTGGTGGGAGAAGAGTTAGCACATGAGTGGAGTGCTTGATTTCTTCCAGAAGTTGCTTGTGCAGTAGGTCACAGTAGAGTTCCTTTGAGTACTTGGGATCTGAGCCTTTGTAGGATTCTAGATTGTTACAGTACAATGGGGGATGGAAAAAGAATGAACATGTAGATTAAGCCTTACTTGAGACAACTTAACTTGTCACTTTCTGACATAGATTGAGGGCAGGTAAATGTGACAAACCATCAAATATATTTGACTCAGGCTAGATACTAGTTTCTGAAAATCAGTAGTGTGTTTTGAACTCCTTAAATGCAGATTGGGAAAAAAAAATTTGTTTCCAATTCTCTGAACATCAATGCTGTTTGGGGAGAAGGTGTCTTTGTACAAAGGCCAGCATTGTGGAAATAGCAGCTTTTGTGAGAAGCAGAAGGAAGCATCAAAACTTGAATGACTTGTCTTTCAATGTTGTATCAATTTAGGTGGATTTCAAGAAATTAAAGGCTTTTTGAGGAAAAAAAACCCAAACATGCACCCCAAGAACTCACAGTTTTAGTAGTGCCCTTTTAGGGAGTGATGAAGCCTTTCTCCCTCTTTGTCGTTGCAGTATTGGATAATACATATTTCCAACAGATGGCTCTTAAAAATGAATCAGAAAGGATATTCCAGCTTCTCCTCTCCTAATTTTCAGATCTTTTTCACTGAAAAGCTTTTGCTAGAAACAGAGTTCTTAAGCATCATGGATGAAGCTCTGTAGACAAAATACTGATAAACGGGCAATGGTATGCAGATCTTGTGGTGGACAGTCGATGTCTGTGTGCCTGTAATACAATAGGGAAATATGCAGGGCATGGACTACAGTAGAGCACTGTATAATTGGGTATTTTGTGTGTTGATCTTGATTTGTTTTCGTGGGGTGTGTGTTTATTTTGATGCTTTTAGAAGACCAGTGAAACTAGAATAATTAATTTCTTTTTTGTGTATATGAACTGTAAACTGACTCTGAACGTAATCCCATAGTCTGCTACGATTATAGTTGTGTAGAAGTTACCAGATAAACAGAATTGAGCTATGCTGGTCACATTTCAAGCAAACTTCTTTGGAGAATGCTTTGTTGACCACCTCAGCTTTAGCAACAAACCTCTGGCACATTAATTTTGGAACTCCCTGTAGCCAAGGTATATCAGTGTTAACATGATTAGGTAACCAACTTGATTTGAAGGTGGTTTCTTGAGAGACCTTCCCTGTCTTAATTTTTTAAAATATTTTTTTGGCACTTGATAATTACGCATGAATTTGTATTTAGGAGCAGAAAGTACTTATCTGCCTGGTACATTCCAGATGGATCATACAGTAATCCTTGTGTGCAGCCCACATGAGATTGGCAGAATGTCAGCAGGAGAAGGGGACAGAGAGGGGAAAAAGAGATTTATGAAGGTCTGAGTGATTTAATCTAGGATTTCAAATCAGCTTAATCCTTCAAGTACTCACTATATATGTGAAAATGAATGAATTCTGATATTTTTAAAATGTTTTTACTGAAGTGAATGGATGCTTCTTTATAGTGTGTGTTGTGTGTTTCAGTATGAGCATGGAAACATACTGCAGCTCATCCTCTAGTGAGAACTATGCTTTCTCTCGTTTGTTTGTAAGCACAAAGCATCTAGCATTTCGGGCACAAAAGAGTTCTGACCTTCAAGTTAGTGGGCAAAAGTTAAAGTGATTGAAGAAGTTGTTTCTTGTCTCTGTTCCTAAGTCACAAAATACAGTCTTGAATTTGTATTTATTGTTTTTAATTAGATACTGAAAACAAAAGAATAAAAAAGTTCAGATTCTTAACTTGTTGCTGAAAAGTTCAACATAAAGTTAATGTGTACGATGTAGTTTACCTATTGAAAACTAAACTGTTGTGCAGTTTGGGTTTTTTTCACTTTGATTTAAACTGTAATAAAATTTCTGGTTTTATGTATATATTTATTAAAAGTTAGCTCAATCTGTAAACATACTGTCTGTTGTAATGCAACTCTTGCCTGTTTTCTGTCTTGTTCACAGAAAACCAAATTAACACCTTCTGAAAATTAAATCTGGTTAATTAAATCTGGTAGAAATAAGTCAGTGACAAGCTCTCTTGCCAGCCACTTTGAATGATTTCTGGCAGGATTTTTTTTTCTATGTTGTTTGTAGTTTGGATTATTGATTTAATGAAGTATAGCAAATTTCCTCATTAGCAGCTAATGCAGATAAAACATGTGAAAAGCCTGCATATTTTTCTTTCTTAGTGAATAAAAGTGTGAAGCCAGTTGTGGTTTTTAATAGTAAAAGCTTTATGAATACATACCAGATGGTGGATGTCTTGGTATGATTCTTATTTCCTAAAATTTGTGAATTCTACAGTGTCTTACAAAAATCAGTACTCTGTACATTGTCTGTTTTTCAGTCAAAGTGCCATGTAAACTGGATTGTAGTAGTGGATAAATGTAGACTTAGAACTCATGTATTTGTTTAAATTTATTTTTTTTTTTAGAATCAGATCAGTGACTTAAGTATTATATCAAGTTCTGGAATGCAACAAAATGCAAATCCTCCAAAGCCAGAAAGCACAGAGCCTTCAGAACAAAAAATTTCATTACAAGTGCAAGAGCAGGTATGTTTCATCTAAATCTAAATAAGGTGCTGGGTTTTCTTCCATTTAGTAGTTTGTTTTGGTACCAAAATATTTTGTTCTCAGAATGCCTGCAGTGTTGTCTGATGTATGCATTACCACTTTGAATAAGCTAATGGGTTTGAAGACTTCTAGGATCCTAAATTCTGTCTTTTAACTTAGTGTTTAAAAATATGAGGCTATGTCCACAGTGCTGTGAATATCCTGGTATGTTTGAATGAGTTGCTAGACAAGAAATGGAAGGTGCTTCAGTCATGGCAGCACCGAATTCTCTTTGGCATGACTGAAAATGTATTTACCTATCTTCTCCCACACTTCTGTAGCTTGCGTTGAACCACTGCTTGTATTCAGGTTTGGTAATGGTATCAGTCAGCATGGCTGATTTCTTCATACTTAAATTGTAGAAAAAGTGTCTGGGTTTTTGGTTTGGTTGGTTGGCTTCAGGGGGTTTTGTGGGCAGAGGTGGGACTATTTGGGGTTTGGTTTTTTTTTTTTTTCCTGTGTTAAGAACTTTTTGACAGTATATTCCTTCTTCAGGAAAAGAAATACTGTTAAAAAAAATATTCAGTGTTTTTGGGGAGGGATGTTGCTCAAATTGTGTAAAAGTTGAGGCCTATTTAAGGTAAATATTAGATACAACATGTTGAATCAGCATGTATCTCAATATCTACAAATTCTAAAGCTTGGTCCTGTAGTTGAAGTGTAAGCCACAGTAAAAAATGCTAGTGAAAATGACCTCTGCTTCACAGCAATATTGTATTTGAACTACGGGAAACTTGTTACAAAATAAAACGCATGGTATCATCACTGGAGTGGCTGGCTTAGGTAGCAATAGTTCAGTATTCAGCTCCATTTTCTAGTAAGCATTTCTGCACATGGAAGGGGTAGCTTCATACAAGACTTCTTAGAGATAAATTGAGGAAAAAAAAATATTCTGCAATAACTAAATTCCCGGTAACACCTCAGTAGCTTGGGCCTGCTTGCAGTGCCACCCAGTGGGCACGGCAAGGTCAGCAGTGGTTCTCCTCAGAAGATCCCCCCACTGAGGGAAGCTGCAAGACCTGCTTCCCGTCCTTGCCGCAGTCTACTGTTGTGTTTCTGATGCAGTAAACCACCGTGACCGTGAAAAGTGAAATGCCCTTTGAAAATGTGTGCAACCTTGCACTTAATACTAGCAAACAAAATACTTACTTTGTAGTAGTGGTAGTAATTTCCCATACAGGGCTAGGGTATAGGCAGCAGGCATCTCTTTTTAGGGGATGGGGAAGTAACAGCTAATGAACTAAAATGAGAGGTGGGGCATTTGCCGGGATTACTTCCTATCACAGCCCCCTCCACCCCCTCAGCAGCATCTCTGCTTTTGGATCAGCACAGTGATAGACTGACCCCTGGCAGCCACCTCTGCTAGCTGCATGCCTGGTCTTGAGACCTGGCAGCAGGGTTGCCTGAGGCTTTGTTTTAAAAGAAGATACTTTCTTTTGGGTCACCCCATGTAGACTGTACGCAGACAGCTGAAGTGCCCCACCTGACAGCACATGGAATTGCAGAACAGAAATCAAAGAGCTAATAAAGGAAAAATTGAAAAGATTCCAACAAATTGCTCTGAAGTAATTAAAGGGAAACAGTCAATTTATAGCACAGGTGAAATGGCATATCTGTTGAGCTATTTAAAATAATAGCTTCAGAGATGTTGGAAAAAATTGGGTAACATAAGAGATAATCCTGTAATGCTAGGTAAATGGGTTCAACTATATCACAAATGTGCTTGTTCTTAATCACATTTTTAATAATGTGGACCACTGGAAGACTACTGGAAAAACATTATTTCAACTGTAAAAATGTATTTTTCATCTAATTGAAACAGGTGACCAGTGAAATGAAGAACTAATGTACATAGAAGTACTGTGAGTTTACTAAACCCCTCTAAAATGCCACACTTGTGTGGCATTTCATGCTAAAGATATCATAGATTTGGGAATAAAAATAAATGTCTTCTATGTGATACTCTGAAGTTCAAGTGTTTTATCTCGGCAGTTGAAAATGAAAGTCAGTGGCAAAACTGAACCAGAACACTGGAAAAAAAAAAAAACTTTATGGTGCCAGTTCTAACTGCTAATTCATATCTCAATATATCTGAAATAATTTCTGGAGAAACGCTTTGAGCAGCACTCTGTTCCAATCAAGTAAAGTGATCATGTTGCATTTTTGCGAACCCTGCTGATAAGGGTCTTCGCAACACCCTAAGTTGATGACATGCTCAAAATATACCTTGACTAGAGATGGGACAGGCAAAAGGCTGGAAGTTAACTTTGTGTTTGAGACTATATCCACATAAGGAGCTAGTCAGACTTGGATCAGAGCATGGTAGAGATTTCTGTTTATTATTTGAATATTTTAATATATTACTGAAAGAAAACTAGGCAATTTATCATACTGAAGTGAAAAGCTGAGTTTGAAATGAGACGGAATAGAGATTCTTCTCTTAATGGAATCTTTACAGTTGAAGGACAGGTCTCCAGATCAGCAAGATCAGTGGAGAAAAGTAAAAACAACTTTCTAGGAAGAATTCCTAACATAATTAACAAGATTTATAAACTATAGAATATCTCAGCTGCAAAATGAAAGTGTGCCTGACTTTAAGCTAGATAAAAATTAGTAACAATGATGGCAGTAGAGATCAGTAACCTGGGCAGAAGTCAATATGATTTCAAGCTCAAGGGAGTTTTTTTGTTAGGCTATTTGCATGCTATCTGTACTGCCATGCCTTCAGTGCTGTTACCTGTGCTAAGAAAATTGGAGTTAGCATAACAATGTCATGGTACAGTAGTTGTCATTGTAAAACAGCATCTTTGTTTAGATGTACCATCAGAATACACTGGAATTGTGCTGCAGGCCATTCAGTCTTCTGAACAGAATGTTTTATTTTAGTCCAGCTGTTTTACATAACTTCTGGTCCTGTGCAACCTTAAAAAAAAAAAAAAAAAAAAAAAAAAAAAAAAAGACTAAGGATGTTAATAGCTATTTCTTTTCTCTTTAGTGAAACAAATTTTTAAATATTTTCAGCAAAATATTAAGAAGATTATATCCTTAAAATCAGATAATTTTTTTTTCCCTAACAATGTCATTTGTGTAGGCTAGATGTATATTTTTGGGAGAGACTAAAGGACTGGTAGATGTAACTCTGTGTGTATATAAACACACCTTTCATTGAGATATGTGTACATATCTTTAGGTTTATACAGGTTCTTGTACCTATTATAACATCTGTTGCATTGTTAAAGAAAAGGGTGAGAAGAACTGACTAGGCATGTATTACTAGATCAGTTTACGTTCAGGTTTCTCCGTTCCTTTCCCATCTTTTAGGACACTTAATTATTTCCAACTCTGTAAATTATATGTGGATGTGGATGGTCCCATCCATCCCCTGAAGTGCCCCATGTAGTTAGGGCTGATCATGATGGCAGGTGCCATCTTAATGGACAGAATCCATCACCTTCCCCCTTCTTTGCTACTAGTGCACAGTCTGTCTGTAGAAGGCTGGAGAGGTAAAGCTTACATAGACAGGGTGTTCCTTGTAAATGAAATTGGTTTGATAAATCCTATAAATAGGACACTCTTGATATCAAAACTGTATTTTTAATTCATTTGACCTGGTTGTGTTTCATAGTTTTATTGAACTTGTAATACTGTGTGAGATGCACAGTAGTGGGTATATTTTTCTAAACTGAAAACTTACTTTTTCCTTCCTTCTAGCCATTTCAGTCAAGGCAGAAGCATCTGACATTGGAGGAACTGTTTGGAACCTCTGTACCAAAGGAACAGCCTGCAGCTCCGTATCCCAATTCAGAGAGAATGGAGAAGTTGCAGACTGACACCTCTGCCAGAGAGCAGCACGGTTTGCTCTTGCCTTTTTCCTTTGACCAATCAACAGTAATACAACAATCACCAGGGAAATCTGAAAGTCCAAGTGTTAAAACCAGTGCCAATGCTTTGAATCAACAGGAATGTTTAACACCTATGCTAATACCTCCAGCATCAGTTTCCCAGCCTGATATAAAAAATGTTTCAAGCTATTCAGTTCGTTTAAGCCCTATTCTTAATTCAGCCTCAACAATGGAAGCTGCCCCTGCTCAGAAGCTTCCTGGCCTAAAACAAAACAACAGTATAATGCAAGTTATGCAGCAAGCTGCCAAGCAGATGTCCCCACTAGTGAATCAGCCGCCATCTGAAGTGAACCACGCTCCACAAAACCTAATAGCTGGCCAAAGCCAGCTTATAGCACCCTTGACATCAACAAACACAGGAACTGTCTCAAATACATCCCATACAAGTGTTGATCTTCTCCAGAAACTCAGGTTGACCCCACAGCATGACCAAATGCAACAGCAGTCTCTCACTAAGACTTCCTTAACACCAAACATCTCTGCCTCGGTTGGCCAACTTGCAACACCAGAAAGCTTCAAAGAATCTCACAGTAAACCATCAACTTTGAACAGCAAGATAATCTCTCCACTTCAGGTATCCGTGAAGCTTTAGACTGTATTTAGACTACATGTATTTTCCCTTGGAAAATGTGCTGTTATACATTAGTCTTTTAAAAATAATTAACAACTTCCACTCTGTGATATCGATTGAATTGCAAACTTAGAAATCCAATTCCATTAGTTTTGTATCATTAGCATCTGCTATCAGTGACAGACCTGTCTGTAGAGGAGGAGGTTTTTCAAGCTGGTGCTGTTAGGGGATGAATAAGTCCTAAAGAATTCATCTGTACTTGTGTCAGAAAAATACTGCTAAGAACTGATGATCTGAGAGGGGGTAGAAGGTTACAGACTGATCAGTATTATGAGAGTTGGTGCTGTGGCAGTCTAGCCTGTACCTTCTTTGAAAGTACAAAGTTAACAATTTCCTGTTTCTGGTTATTTTGCTTTGGATGTTTTGTACTCCTTCAGTTTTGACCCCCTTCTGCTGTGGATACCTGTAGGCTACATTGAGATATTGTTAGGCATTTAGTAAAATGGATCATAAACTGATTTATTTTGTCTAATTGATCACCTTGGTTTGTTTTATCCTAGTATAGTTACAAAGGACCTCTTAAACTTCCTATTGCTTGGAGGAGAATCTACTGTCTGTGCCTTAATAGGCCAAAGCAGTAAATATGTTTTGAGAGACTAGGTGAAAATGTTACTGCTAGTCTGTAAGGTTAATGTGTGTGGCTTTGTGTTATAAATTATTTCCTATCATTTAGCATTGCTCTTCTGTATAATTGGCTACGTCAGTAGTAAAGACATTAATGAGTTTGGGTTGTTGGATTTCTTTTTTCTCCAAAGGGAGTAACTTTGTAGTGCCTACCTCTGAGGTTTTCCAAAGACTTCTCTTCGTTTTGTTGTGTTATTATTTTATTTACACTCATGTAGATTAAGCTGGTGTTTGATCATGTCTTCTTGCATCTTGGCTACAGTGATGATGCAAGAATAAAAAACACCAAACAAAACTACTTAATGCTACATCTGGGTGAATTTCCTAATGCTTATTAGTATCCAGTCTTGCCACTGGGTTTTAACAAGATCTTTGGTAGCCCTGTCTGGGTCAGCTGCTACGCTTTGCTATGAATATGGTGATGACCTGCTCATAACAGATACAATCAAAAGCTCAGCTCTTCAGCCTGTAACTTGTCCTGAGGATTACTTTAGAATACCCTGTATTTTTCAAGTGTTGCTTGAAAAGTTATCCCTGTCTTAATGTTTAAGAAAATGGTATGTTTTCATTGTGCTGACTAATTACCTTATTTCTAATCTACTGCCGTTGTTGAAAATTTCTCAGGAAGGCTGTGACTGCTAGATGCTAGGGATTATCTCACTAATGATCACCTTTTTGAGGTACTTGGACCGATTAATTTTGCAGAGGGAGGAGGATGTCCAAGTACAACATTGAGCAGCTATGTTGATCTGGTATTAGAGCTGCACATTCTGAGCAGTATTTTTTCTTTTCTGTACTACTAAACTGTGGTACAAGTTTAACTGAAGATTGTGGCATCTTTGAGCATTCGGAAAATCTGGCTGGATTTGTCCATAACTGCCCTTGACTGCATTTATTGAATGTCTACTTCATAGCCTTGGGAATTAGCTCTTCATATGCTAGTCTTACACCTTGTTTGTCTCCTTCCACCATGTTCATTGTATGTACATATTTTCATTAGACAAAATTCTCAGTAGTCCAAATACACTCTCAAACTAGCAAAAAAGACTTAACTCTTGTTCAATTAGACTTAAAGAATTTGCTCTTGGGCTTGTTACCACTTCATAAAGCTAATTTTACTTTTGTCATTAAGGACTATCAATTCCCCAAGTGTTTTTATCGCAGTTCAAGTAAACTAAGTAGCGTCTGTTGCAAAGGGTATTTTCCCATGCTGTGTTGCAAAGATGTATTTCAAATGGCTATAGCAAGCCCTTTGAAGAATGCCACGGCAATTTACTAAAGTACTTATCTGCATGCTTTTTGTCTTTCTTTTCTAATATTTTATAATGCTTGAACTTAATTATATTATAGTCTTGAAATGTGACTAAAGAAGAATCTGGATGCTGTTTGTAAAGGTGTAAAATACTTCAGAAATTCTAGCAGAAAACAGCATTTAATTTTTGTGGAGGTGATTGGATAAGACTCCAAGAAAAAATACTGAATTTAACCTTCCTGGCAATTTGCCAAACTGATTACAAGGTACTGAACTCTTCCCTTCATAGTGTTTTTAATGTTTAGAATTTTTTTAACTGTATTGGTCTTTCTTCAGAAGTTACGGCTTTACAGGTTTGCTGTAATATTGAAAGCACAAAACAAATTCAAATATTTCCTTTTTTCCAACCCAATTGATTACATCAGTTTTACAAAATGGATCGAATTACATCTAAAATCTATTGAAACTTGTGGTTTTGTGCTTTCATAAAACCAGAGAACCACTACTGGAAATTGAGCTGTGGATGCTAATTTGTGAATTATGCTTTCTTTTTAATTTAGACTGTACAACAAAACAAGGAATCAGAAGTATTTCCACAGCCGAAGACTTTGTCTATAACAAGTCAAGTAAGTGAATAAGTACCTCTACTAATTGTTTGTTGGTTTTCTTAAAAAAAAAAAAAAAAAAAAAA